CCCCAAAGCTAAGTTTTAAGATCGGAAACAAAAAGAAGAGGGTTTTTGTTGTTTCCTGTTTTGTTTTAAGATTGGAATTATTAAACAATTGTGAAAAAACAGTTTCTTGTCTGAGTGGTATTGTTGATGAGAAATAATGAGATGGAAGGAAATATTGTTTAGGTTAACTGTTTGATACCCTACACCACTTTGGAGTACTCTTAAGATATTACAACCTTTATACCAATTTAAAACGAGCATAACAAAAGTCCTCTTTATTGAGAATGTCCGAAATGCACCCTTCTATATATGAACCGACTTCAATCAAACCTACCCATGCCATTCGCCAATTTATACTAAATTTCATGTTATATCATTTACATATGATCGATCTGATCTATATATGTGATCTATATGAAAATCTAACTCTTTATGCTAAAGAAGAGATAATCGAACAAACGTTGGGCACCATCTACATATAAACAGACGAAATTATATCTGACAGCTATATCTAAATCTGAGCCAACTTTAGTGAAACACCTCTAGTAGTCGATTTTCACAATCGAAGAAATATGCATTAAATGCCCAAACATGCTCCCGAAGTTTGTGGCGAGTCACTTTAGATGTATGTGGCCTAGCGCTGTTCTGGTGGAACACGACACCTCTCCTGATGGCCATTTCTGGTCAATTGCTTTCTTCAAACGGTCCGGTTGTTGACAATAAAGATCAGAATTTAGCTTTTGGCCATATGGAAGCAACTCATAATAAGTAATCCCCTTCCAGTCCCACCAAAAGCATAGCAGAACCTTCCTGGCCGTTAGTCCTGGTTTGGCCACCGTTTGAGATGCTTCACCGCTCTTTAACCACGATCGTTTTCGCACAGCGTTATCATATGTGATCTATTTCTCATCTCCAGTCACCATCCGTTTTAAGAATGGGGTGTATCTCATTCCGTTTTGTCAAGACGGAAATTCGATAAATCGTAGACGGAAATTCGATCCATCGTAGATGGAAATTCGATCCATTCTATTTTTTTCTACTATTTGGTGTGACACCAAACATCGAGCTTATTTTTAAATCCAGCGTTCTGTAAATGATTTAAAACAGTTTTATGGTCGATTTTTATACCCTACTATTATAGCTTTGTGTAACGCCGCAAAATATTGGTCCTAGACCCACCTTTAAGTATACCGATCGTCATATCTCGACTAGCTGAATCGATCTACATATGTGTGTCCTCCGTCCGTCTGTCCATTATAATTTGTAAACATGATACAGGCCCCAGTTATGGACCAATCTTCACGAAATTTTGCATGTAGGATGGGTTCTGGCTAATGAAGACCCCTATTGTTTTTTGTTAAAGATCGGTTAATATTTAGGGGATGAAATGGACCAAAAACTAGATTTTTATCTGATTTTCTGGTCGCTCTAGAGGCCGCAATAGTGGGCCAAACATCGTAAATTTTTACAAGGAGAATGGGTCGGGCCAAAGAATATGCATGACATAATTTGTATTCTATAGTGTATATATTTACTCCTGAAGGACATAGTCCCTTCAGGAGTAAATGATGGTATATCGAAGAGGAGAGGTTGACCTTTAAATTGATACCAAATATGTCGTTGTATGTACTCGGATGTGGAAGTTACATTTAAAAATTTACAGGTGCTTACGTACTCAGAATTTTTTTAGTAACACATTACCACACTAGAGGCGGAAATTTTCCATGAGGATCCAGGTATGGTCAAGGACAACGCCTATAATTTTCGTTGATGATCAGATAATAATATTGGGATGAGGTGGACCGAAAACATAATTTGTTGCGCTTTTTCGAGTCGATATATAGGCCACAATTGAAACCCGAACATCATAACACAACCCACGGTGAAGTGAATCTGGACAAGTAATTAGAAGGGATATACTGAATATTAGTAATATTTGTTGACCTCTAGTCGGTCGAGAGGGTGCAAATATAGCGAAATATTTTCCATGCTCATATATAACCACAGAAAGTTAGATTTTCGTGGAAGTTGTGTAGGGTATCATATGGTCGGCCCCGTCCGACTATACTGCTCCGCACACTGGTTAGCTCATAGGCCATGTTACGACTGCTAACATGCCGGTCACGAAACTAGGCAGGCAATACTCTTTCATTACTGAGCAATATTCCTTCTAATTGGATTGGATTGTTTTGTTTTTTATTTAGCCTTCAAGATAATCGAGAATCGTCGAAATTTTAAATCGATATTTACAGCTTAAGTATAAGGGAAGCTTTGAAGAGTCACCCTTTTAGGTATTACTGATTCCATCTAATCATTTTATTCAGCAAATATCAATTTATTTTCCTATGTTAAAGTTTTCCATCCCACTAGGAACAGTATTATACTGGGGGTATAGGGGGTATATAAAAAAACATACTACAATTTTTTTACTTTCACATGTCCGTCCGTCTGACTGGCTGGTGCACACGATAACTCTCGAAGGGAATAATCAATTTCATCCAAATTTTGCGCATCTTAATATTTCTTCCAAACATAGTTTAAGTTCGAAGATGGGGAATATCGGTCCACTTCTTCTGGTACATCCCCTACAAAATGGTCAAAATTGTGTTAAAAAAATTATAATAATCAAACGGACTATCCGATTTTAAAGAAACTTTGTACAACCTATTATGTGGGCCAAGCCTAGATCAATTACGAAGATGGGACCCATTGGTCCACTCCTTCGTATACCTCCCCCCAGAGGGTCAACATTTTCGATATTTATAAATCCAATATCAGGCTAATGGAATGTCTGATTTGAACCAATCTTTGCAAGCCTACTATATCTTTACCAAGCCTACATCAAGTTTGAAGATGAGACCCATTGGTCCATTCCTTCTGGTACCTAGCCCACAAAATGGTCAACATTTTGCTAAAAATTAATTTTATAAAACATTCAAACGAACTAACTGATTTTAATGAAACTTTGCACAACATATTATCTTGGCCACTCCTTTGGTACTCCCCACAAAGGGTCAAAATTTCCAATATTTATAAATTCAATATCAGGCTAATGGAACATCCGATTTGAACCAAACCTTGCAAAACATATTGCATTTACCAAGCATAGATCAAGGTTGAAGATTGGACCCATTGATTCGCTCCTTCTGGTACCTCCCCCACAAATGGTAAAATTTTTCAACATTTATGTATCCAATAGCAGGCGAAAGGAATGTCCTATTTCAACTAAACTTTGCACCACCTATTATCTTTAACAAGTCTAGATCAAGTCCGAAAATGGGACCCATTGGTTCACTCCTTTTGCTTCCACCCACACAAATGATCAGCATCTTCAATATTTAAAAATCCAATATTAGGCGAATGGAATGCTCAATTTTGAGCGAAGCTTTGCACAAACTATTATCTTTATCAATCCTAGATCAAATCCGAAGGTGGGACCCGTCTGCCCTCTCCTCTGGTACGTCCTACAAAATCGGTCAATATTATATATTTGATCAACATAAAATCCGAAACATCTTTAATTAGACATATACCTTATTTAAACGAATACTAAAAACTGTGTATAACTCCGAATACCTCCTCCGCAAACCATAGGGTGAGGGTATATATTTGTCGGCAACACCGACTGACACTTTTTTACTTGTTTCAAGACCCATTGTGATGGGAGTTTTTCTTAAAATTGAATTTTTTCTTAAAATATAAAAACCCAAAAACCGTGGACAGGTATGGATAATACCTTATGACGTCAATTATTAAAATAGGAATCTATGCCAACACGTTGACAGATTCATACAATTTTCGAAAATATGAGAAACCAAAATGTAAAATTACAGCCAATACTTTTAGAAAACTTGTCCAAAATACTACAGTCGTGGGGTGCCATTACACGGAGGGCTAAAGCTATAAGTAGACCTATATTGATAATTTTTGGTATTAAGAAATATGAAAACAAACAAAAGATGCTTTAATGCAATACTTAGTTAGCGTGATTAAAATAGGCTAACATATATGGACATGGAATTTTATCCTGATCAAAAATATAAATACTTTATAGGGTCGGAAATGAACGATTCGTTTAGTTTCAAACATAATGACAAAATTCCTATATCCAACATGGAGGATATAACAATTAAATCAGTGTCTGGGGTTATCCACTTGAAATTGATTCATTTTTCCATTGATGTTTATAGAAAAAAGTCATTCTATTTCCATATTCAAATTTTGTTCTGAATGTCCTACACATGGAATGTAACTTTTTAATAAAACGCTACAATTTTTATAAGCAATTTTTATATATTTTTTTATTTTATTTTTTAATTTACTTTTACTTTTTTTATAATTCAAGTAATAATTATATTATTAACACTTGTTTGTATTTATACAATTATAATTTTAGCTAATATAAATATTTAAAAAACAAAAAATAAAATAATAATTAAGAAGTTAAATTTTAGGAAATAAAAATATACAATAAATATGTAACCTAATTTGTATATATAATGTTATTTGTTTATAGATATTTTTTACAAGCAATTAGTACTTTTTTCATATAGAGTATTTTTTGTTTTAGTTTTTTTTAGATTATATATAATAATTTTGAGCAATTGAGACATATACAAAGAGTTATTTAGATTGGAATTTGGTGGAAACATTTTACATAGGATTGGATTTTTGGTATATTAAGGTTATATTAAATTATTAAGGAGTTTTTTATATATACAATAAATAATAATTTTATAGGAACAATAAATAAATTTATATATTTATTTTTAGGGAGTTATTATTTTTTTAATTTACGATATGTTACAAATTTTTTTTTGGCTATTATTATTTTTTGGTTTTTATTTTTATTTTATTTTATTTTTTTTTTTTAATTTTAAGATTCGTTTTTATGAAACCAGCTTTTGTTTTTTTCCTTAAAATCTATATTTTTTATACAGTTTTGGGTTTTTCTATACAATTTGTTGTTTTTGTTTTGGTTTTTAATAAATTTTATGATTTTTCATTTGTTGTTCACTGGCATTGTGATTGAAATTGCCATTACCATTATTGTTGGCCTTGTCCTCCAAACCCCCCATATTGTTGTTATTGTTGAGGGCCGGTTTTTGTAGACCATTTAAAAGCCTCTCCATGGCTGGAGTTTTGCTGTTGGCTGGCAACTCTACCGTTGATTGTGGTGAGTTGTTCAAGTGACCATTTACCGTTGCCGTCTGGGAAAACTTTCCAGCCATTTCCTCTGCATTGTGGGGAAGCAGCATTGTGGCTGTCTGCTGCTGCTGTTCCTCATCCTCATTTTCCACATCTATGGCCGCATCATCGGCCTCCTCGGACTCCGTGTGACTGGGCTGGGGTGAGGGAGGTGTTGCCAACCTTGTCGTGGAATGTTGTTGTTGCTGCTGCTGATGATGATGTAGTGGGTAGGGTGATGTTGTAACACGCATCAAATGTTGCAAGTGGTGGTGATGGGAATGGTGCTGCTGCTGCAAATGAGAATGATGGCCATGTAAAGCCGCCACATGATGCTGTGAGGTTGGTGGGGTACCGGGCGTAGTGGGTCTACCACCACCCCCACCACCATGCGGGTTATTAGCAGACGACGTTGTGGGGTTATTGGCAGCTGCTGCCGCCACTGCGGCCGCAGTTAAACACCCCACCCCCTATACTAGAGATGACAGTGGTGGCCGGGGTGGGCTGTTGTTGCGTGCTGCCGCAGCGGCATAATACTGCATGGCATGGGCATGATGAGGTGGTGGTGGTGGCACAAAACCGGATGTGGTGCCATCGTGGTACAACACTGGCACCCTCACCAAACGTTGGGCAGCATGGGCCATATTGGCCATGTTGGCAGCCTCCAGCTCTGCGGCCAATTGACGTTTCCATTTATTGCGGCGATTTTGAAACCAAATTTTCACCTGAGTCTCGGTGAGGCGTAACGAGGCAGCCAAACCGGCTCTTTCCGAGGAGCTTAGATAACGTTTCAAATCGAAGGTGGATTCCAGTTGAAAGACCTGGGCCCTTGAGAAGACGGTGCGTGTTTTCTTTTTGCGTTTATTTTGATTTGAGTCTCCCTGAGGCGAGGAGCCATCGGAGGGGCCATCGGTGCCGTCATCTTCCTCAATGATTTCCTCACCCTCATCATCGGATTCATTGGAGCTGGTGGGTAGTAGATAGCTGGAATTGGAGTGGGAGGAATGATGAGAAAGTAGTGCGCCGCCGTTGAGATTAACACCACCACCACTGGAGCTGGTGGGTGTTGTGGCCTGATGGGGTTGTTGTGACAAGTGGTGGTGATGATGAGAGTTGTGCTGCGAGTATGGGGAGGGTGATTTGTTGCCATTGTTGTTGTTAGTGTTGTTGCTGTTGGCCATGGAGCCGCCACCGCCATTCATTTGTGGCGAGGGTGGTGAGGAGTGATTTTCTGTGGTATTGGTGGAAGAGCTATCTGCAAAGAGAGAAAGAAAACAAAAGAGAGAGAAAATGTTAATAAATTTGTTTAATAATCACAGCAGAGATTTTATGACAATTGTCACAAAATAAAAATGAGAGAGAGAAAGGAAATGGGAGTGAGAGAAAAGCTCTATGGCGCATACTCCCTTTTGGAGTGTTCCTAATGGTGTAAAAGAGAGGAAGTTTGTTCCCCTCTCTTTAAAATAGTTTTGTATGCCACAAATTTGTTAAAATACAACCCCCCTCCCCTGTTAGCTAACCATAATAATTGCTATCTATTTGTAATGCTTTTTCTAAAATGGCGTTTAACTTCAAATCTGTTTGGTGGCCACCGTTCGTGTCACCACCATCACAAAGGACCTATTATGGATTTAAACATTTTTTTGTTGTTTGTTTTTACAATAAAACCGCTTGACTTTTTTAGGTTACATTGTGAAACAAAGGGTATTGCGAACATTTGAAAAAAAAAAACAAAAAAAATTCCATAAAAAATACCATTACCTACATTTTATTTATTTTTCGCATAGACATTTGCTTATAAACGTTTTTCGTTTAGGTTTTTTTTCTTGTAATCTTTTTCTTAGTCTGCTAAAGGAATTTCCCAACCGTTTTCTTTTTCTATGGTTTCTTTTAAGTGTTAAAAGAATTTCTTTTTGGTAGCAAAAAAGAAAATCTACAGCTTTTTCTTAAAGAAGCACAAAAAAACTTGGTCTCGTGTCCAAGAAAATTCCAAACATTCCATGGCTAATGTCTAATCACCAATTTCAAATATGTAACTAAGCCAGAAATTCAATTGGCCAACATGCAGGCATGCAATGTTGTTCGACCATTCTCCACCCCACCCTACCCCTTCTTCTTCCACCACTCGACACATGTTGTTCACTAGTTTTTCAATTAAAATAGCTAAAACAATTTGTACAAATAGTTTCATTAAAGGTATTAAATATCAAAAACGGTTTAAATAATGCCATGCCATACAACAGACGACTGAAATTCCAATGCAGCAAGCTTCCCTCCCATACATCCACATCTCCCCTTTCCCCTACACCTCCATATCAAAAACATCCACTTATCGTTTATCCCCTGGAAAATTTTAGCAATGCATTTTCACACACACACACATATGCATAACTAAAATGTAATTGTTTACAGGAGTAAAGCCACTCAATGCAATTGTAAGTGTATGCTGATTCTTTGTGTGCAATTTCGAATGAGTATGTATATGTGTTGGTACATGTGTGTATGTGTCTGTATTTAAGCCTATTTAATTGGCCTCTTGCATTAAGTCGCTAACTAAATTGCAATTGAATTTGATCATGTAAATTGGCCTTAAGCAAATATACCTAACACCCTGCTCTCATCTATACACACACATGCATACATATTTACACCCACATGCTCCCCACTTTACATACCTCTACCCTTTCATTACATTGTAAATGCCGTTTTAAGTGAAATTCCATGGATGACAAACAAACTATGTGACAGAATGTTTTAATACCCTAGGAATTTGCTGAATTGACTGCATTACACCAAAACGAAACTAAAATTCTTTAAGAATGAGGAAAATGTTATGACAAAGTGACAATTGCAACAAATTCGATAATAGCTGCAACAACAATAGATTAAGAATTAATTGAATTGCAAAAACAACAAAAAATAGTGATACTTAAAACTTAAATTGCATTGCGTGTTCAGGAATTAACTGCGGAAAAGGGGAGAGATTGGATATCGAAATAAATTGAAACGGAGGTACATCGGGTTGAGGACCTCTGAGTGGATTTTTCAGTCTAATATACACTATTATAGTGATTTAATTATAAGGGTTTTCCAATGCAGAATTGTATTTAAAAATGCTCTCAGATTTTTTTTTTTTAATTTGTAGCTCTCATAGAGTGTGAAACCTCAAGTGGGTATTAATACAAGTTGACAATCTCCCAAATAAAGCATGTGTCTATTTAATGCAAAGAAAGTTTGAGGAAGAACGCAGAACTTCAAAATACGTTTATAAAATCGTCGCAGAGAGAGTTGGGTTGTTGCGGTACGAATTAGTACAAATAAACTATTCGGCAAATGGAACAATCGGTACTTGGTTCGATTCTTCAGATTATCTAGTTCCTATTGCTTTTGCCCTTAGTTTTTGGTTTCGTTCATCCAGCTCCCTTTTAATCCAATCGTGCATCAGGATCTTCCAGTTCTTTGACTGTATTTACTGGCGTCCACCAATTAACGAATGAACAAACAGGAACTATGGAACTTAATAAATGACATAGTTCTTTTTGCGAAGCGAAGAGAAAAATATCGAACTCCTTCAACCAATAAACTCTAGTTACCGGCAATAAAACAGCCATTGACAACTCAATGAAAGTTGTTCGAAAAAACTCTCCTCGAAGAATATGTTGACATGTTTCTTCGACAAAGGTCGTCATATGACGAATAATCCGTAGGACAATCCCTTCTACACCATTATTTGTTTACCTGCAATCTACGAAGAAATTCGAAATATGAACTAGAGAATACAAATAATTGTATACAATGCCAAAGCGAGTTCGACCTGAGGCAGGGTAGTAGATGACAGACCAAACCGTGAAACAGCTCCGGCTGTTGTTGTATGCCTTTTTATTATGTCAAAGCATTCAGAAGCCATGTTTTGGGGATACTTTGGGATGGTAAAATCTATAAATCGTGCTTTGAAAGATCAGAATAATACCAGTTAACACAAAAACTCAAGCAGACCGACAGATCTTCAAGAAAATCGTGTGGTTGGTAATTGAGTCTCTGAAATGCATGAAAATGATTCGGAATTCCATCGAAAAATCATCTTCATTCTAATGAGGCTCATTTAAAGCTGAGGATCTGTGTCAATAAGCAAAATTATTCAATCTGGTGTTCTCAAAATCCGAATTTATTGTTGAGAAGCTTCTTCATCCCCGAAGTGTGACAGTTTTGAATATAAACTGTGAAGTTGCAGGAAGAGGTTATTAAGAATTTTGTTTGTAATTTTTTAGTATGATATTGATCTGGACATCGTTCTACCCAAGCACGGGAACTATTGCTTTTTACGGGAAGACGTGTAGTCTCTGAATGAGATGATCACAAGAGGCCACCAAAATGTTGCAATTGAGACTTTATATGTGGGTGCACATATATATATATTATATATATATATATACAAATATTATATATACATATATATATATATATATATATATCTAGGATTTTCATTGGGTCATTCTTATTGGTCCATGATCAGTTATCGGTTCCGATAAAATGATTTCGTTATTTGAGGATTTCAGAAATATTCTTCAATCGATTTTGCTATAATACAATATTCTGACCCAAAAATTTTAAATATCGGCATTTCTCTGGGAATGACTTCCACAAAAGGTCCAGCCCATTTAAAGGTATTTTGATGGCGCTAACTTCGGGTTAAAGGTTAAAATTACAAGGTAGATGTAATTTGGTATTTGGGGACTTCATTGGGTGAACAACATAAAACAATGTTTCTAGATAGCCCCCACACAGATATCACCCGTAATTTTCGGTATTTCGTTTTTTCCAGGGAACCTTTAACTTTCGCGATATTTCAATGTCCTCTCATATAAAAGTTCCCATAGATTTTAGGTATTTTGAATTTTCACCACATAGTGGAGGGTATAAAAAGTTCGACGCGTCTGAACTTAACATCGTTTTTTTACTTTGAAATAATTTCCATAAAATGGTATTAGCAAATTTTGTTCTGAAAATTATATTGAAAATTCGATATCCAACAAATTATTATAAATTATTTGAAATTCTTGTCATTCCCCTAGCCAACAAGGAACCAAATTCCATTCTTTCTTTTATAATTATTAATTAGTGTAATTATATTACTTATAATCAACTTACCATGTGTGGGACTGTGAAAAGGCATACGTTGTGGTGCCCAGGGCCAGCCGGGTGGACATAGAGCGGCATAGCGACCGGCCAATGCACCCCATTGTGATATGAAACCCAATCTGTAAAGAAACCACGAAGAAAGAACAAATCAATAAAACAAATTTCTATTAATAAGGATAGAAGCCCATAAGGAAATCCTTTTGAAGGAAGAAAATAAAAGGCCAAACTTTTATGGCAGCAAAAAGGGTAATTCTATATTTTGTTGCTGCTGTTTATCGTTGTTGTTTTATTTTTGGCAGAAGTGATAATAAGAAAGATTTGCAACAGCTGTTAAATATTTAAGAGATTTACACACATTTTCATAATAGCGTATACAAGCACACACATATAACTAATTGGAATATATGTGCGTATGAATTCCACTCCCAAAGAGGAAAAACTACCCTCTTTGAAAAATAAATGGATTTAATAAAGGTATGTTCAATAAGAGTGTATTTCTGAGTGTGTGTGTGTATTCATATGATATGTATAATATTTCTATATACAGATTTATCTTTTTTATGTACATTATTGTTGTTGTATTTATAAATCTGTAAGAATAACATCTTCATGTTTCCTTCTTCCTCAATTCTTTTCTTTTCAGCGTAATACTATATGTAGTTGTATCGCAAAAGCCTATATATATATGAGCATGTGTATGTGAAAGGGGTTGTACCACCACAACAACAGCAACAACGAAAAAACCCCAAAGAACTTTTCACAACAGGTAAATCTTTTGTTATGTTATGATTCTTCCTTACCGTTACGTGGCATTTTATTTGATGTTTAAGATGTTTTAGGGGTTGTTTTCGTCCTTTTTTGTGTGTTAGTTGTAGTCCCAAGAACCACACCAACAATTTCTTAATTCCCAAATTTCTTATACTCTTACATCCGTTTAGAAGCAAATGATGAAGGGAAAGTTTGTTTTTTGGTGTTGTTACTTTTTTTCTTGCTTCTACTTGACTTAATAAAGCACTTAAGTGATTTTCCTCTTTTATTTTGAGCTACCAACATCCCCTCTCCTCCCCCACCCTCAATATAATGCTACTCTGCAATGACTTCCATTGAACAATGAACAAAGAAAGTTAAATATTAAGATGTTTAATGGATGATTAGGTTGTGAGAGAGTGAGTATACAAACAGGTTTTCTGGTATGGGGGAGGGTGGTGAAAGGTGAGGGGGAATTAGTTGTTAAGAGATTTTATATAGATGGTATCTTCTATAGCCCTTGTCTGGGGGTAGATGTTAAGATTTATTTAATAGGCATCGTTTTACTTTTTTTCGTCGTGTAATACTCACATACACACACAGACAGGTAATTTGGATTGGAGGTCAAAGGTTATTCGTTCCTTTGATGATGATGATTTAATGCCATTTGGCAAAGGAGTGGAGGTTGGGAGAGAAGATTTTTATGTTCCTGTCTGAGGATAAATATTGTCTGCAAAAATATTTCTTAAGCTTTTGAAAAGTCTATACATAAAATAGGTCATTTAAAATTATAAATAATTTTATATAAAGATTTTTTATCGTTTTAAATTTTAAGAATTCGGAATATTGTAAAAGATAGACATAAAAGGTGGAAAATTATTTTTCATAAATAAGAAAAATATGGGCTCAAGGTCTATCAATATTTGTTTAAAGAATAGTTTTTGAAGATTCACTAGAAAGTTCGAATTTTTGAAAAAAAAATAGAAGCGAAAAATGTTTTCATAATATTTTGCCTTTTAGAAGGTCTAATGGAATCAATCATGAAAAATATTGAAAAAATTCACACTTAAAATCCCTGAAAGTTTTCTTTAAATCTACGCCTTTTAAAAATATTTTTATAAAATGCAGGCTTATAAAAGGCCTCTAAAAAATCCGTGCCTTTGAAAAAAATATTTTTTTTTATAAAAGAACTTTAATATTTAATATTTTTTTATAAAAGGACAATATGCGAAACGCGTCGCATAATGGTGGGTACGTAGGTTCTTCTCCAGGCTTTCCATTTCATTGCAAAACTTAGATCATCAAGCTCGACTCGAAAGAGTATCAATAATCACTTAAAATTACTTTCAAATGATCACTGCCCTTACAAGGCAAAATTCAAATAACAAAAAAAATTATAAAAGAACGATAAAAATATAATATTTTTTTTTAAAAACTTCCGCTTTGATACTTCCTGCAAAAATATTTTTTTAAATCATCGCTTAAATAGTCTCAAAAAAATTTTTATAAACATCAGTAGTCCTGAAAAAAATATGTATTTTTTTAAAGGTCACTTTTTGAATAATCCTTGAAATATATTTTTTCAAATCCCAAATCTTTGAATATTTCCTGAAATATATTTTGATAAAAATCATCGCTTAAATACTCCCGAAAAATATTTTTTATAAACTCCACGCTTTCAAACATATTGCTCTTGAAACGTATTTAAAAAAAATGTAAGCCTTCAGTAGTCCCGAAATATATTTTTTTTTTTTGTTTTCTAAAAAAGGCCACTTTTTGAATAATCCTCGAAATATATTTTTTAAACAAATTAATGCTTTGAAAACTCCCCGAAAAATATATTTGTAAAAATTCACGCCTTCAAAGTCCTGGAATAAAATATTTTTTGTAATATCCTTGAAAAAAATATTCTTGAAATAGTCATTGAAAAAAAAATTTATAAAAATCCAATATTCTTTAAAAAATATACGCCTCGATTACTTTAAAAAATATTTTTTCAACACTATAAACGCGTGGAATTTTTAATAAATATTCTTTAAAAAGTCCACGCTTCGAATATTCTTAAAAATATACTTTAAAAAGTCCACGCCTCGAATATTCTTAAAAATATACTTTAAAAAGTCCATGCTTCGAATATTCTAAAAAATATGCTTTAAAAAGTCCACGCCTCGAATATTCTTAAAAATATACTTTAAAAAGTCCACGCCTCGAATAGTCCTTGAAAAAATATTTCCTAAAAAGTGCACGCCTCGATTAGTCCTTGAAAAATATCCGTTAAAAACTCCACGCCTCGAATAGTCCTTGAAAAAATATTCTTTAAAACTTCCACGCCTCGAATAGTCCTTGAAAAAAATATTCTTTAAAAAAATCCACACCCTCCTTGAAAAAATATTCCACGCCTTGGAGAATCCTTAAAAAAAGATTCTTTAAAACTTCCAGGTCTCGAATAGTCCTTGAAAACATATTCTTTAAAAAAATCCACACCCTCTTTGAAAAAATATTCCACGCCTTAGAGAATCCTTAATAAAAGATTCTTTAAGAAATCCACGCCTTAGAGAGTCCTTAAAAAAATCTTTAAAACTACACGCCTCGAATTTTCTGTTTCCCTTGTCTGAACTGTTTATGAACTTTAATCTTTAACATTGGACTACTACATTTCGTATTATCATAATCCTAACTAAACTCCAGGATTTATTCGTAAAAGACAACAAAATTAATATGTTACCACATACGATATTGGGCATGTGAAACTCAAAACTATTTCTGGTAAAGAAACAATTAGAAAAAATTAAAAAAAATAGCTGTATTTCCCACAACCTCTTGCTTGGGTGTCATTTAGAAATGCGAGCAGGACACATTTTTAACACAACTTATTAAGAAGAAAAGCAAACGTATTTTGTTGTGGGAACCCTTTCCCACCCCCGCCAAAAAAATGACCCCATTTAAAATCCTCAAAAAATATTTAAAACGTTTCAAATTCCAACTAAAAAAATTATAGCTTTCACACATGTTTTACATTTCTGCTGCTTTTTTCTTTCCTTGTTTTTCTGCAATTCTTCAATCCCCCAAATGGGGGGCTAGTTGAAATATAAACAACTTAGAATTCTAGACTAGTGTTCATTAACCTTTTTTTTTTTGTTCTGGTCATATATATACATACAAAAAAGGCAGAAAAAAGACTAAACCTTTTAGTGACTGTTATAGAGGGCCGTAAAGGTATTTGTGTGTAAACTGAGCTAAGTGCTCAAGTGACTGTGATTTAGTTAGTTATTTGTAGCAGGCTGAGAACGGCCGACCCTTCAATCACCAATACCTCAGTGCATTCAATTTTCAACACCTTCCTTCCCCCACTTCGTATTTTTGCAATTTTAAACATTTATATTAAGTTTTGCTTTTGGTCATTCTTGGCGATGACATTAACACCTTCAATCTGACCTGTTTTGTCGGTCGAGCAATTGCCACCATGGTCATGGTCTTGTTATTGTTGTTTACATAGATTATTTATAAGTGGGCATTTAATTCCATTGTGTTTATATATAACAACACAACAGATATTAAAATCAATAATTTCTTTATTAAATAAATACAATCAATCAAATGCTGTTGAAATGAAATCATGGAAAATTTGAAATTGTCATGGGCTGCTGTTGTGTGTTTGAGTCTCATTGCAAATTATTTCGTTTTGTTGCTTGTCTTGTAAGGTTTCTTTTGTTTTCTTCTTATTTTCATATTTTTTTCCACCATTCATAAGTCCCACAATTTGTGAAAAAAATGTCAGTATTTGCAAAAAACCCACATCTATTTCTGTTTCTTCACTTAAATTATAGTTAAGCTTTTTGTGGTTTGTGAAGAATCAATTAGCCAACAAAATTGGTTGTTTCCAATGAAATGAACGTTTTGTTTTTCTTCTTCGTCTTTTTTGGTTTCTTATTAAGTATGGTGAAGCCACGAGAGAGAGAGAGAGCAACTAAAAAAATTGTAAAACCTTTAAAATTGTATACTAATTGTTGTGGTGGTTGTTAAAACGCTTATGTTTTGGCTATTTGTTTTTAAGATTTCTTGATAGAAAAAATACGATTTTTTTCTTGTGACACATTAACAAAATGCTTTTGGTGTTTACAAAATGTCCATTGCATTTTGAATTGGGTTTTGGGTATATATAAAAATAATGCGGTATTTATTACTAAATATGGCCAAAGAGGATAACAGAGTTTTAACACAAATATTATTTATGATAAAGTCATCATATTTAAATAAGTGCATATTTACACCATTTACAAATCAAGCTGCTCGAAAATATTGAAACATTTTCTTTTTAATACATGCTTCAGAAATAATGAAGAAAAAATTAGGAACATAAATTTAACAAGTC